TGAGAGGTGAAGCCACTGGCGACTTCTTTCGTGTCCACCATCTCGGATACGCGGACGTTTGTCTATAAAGGAAGCACTTCCTTCTCAACCAGACTAGGAACCGAGATACATCAAAATCCAAAGACATCAGAGGGAAAGACTGGAGCAAGGCCCTGTTCCTGCTGGAGTTTGTTAAAACCTCCCACTTGCATCCTCCTCACGCTCCTCTGAGCTGCTTCCAGGCCTTGTCGGCTCCAGTGAAGGGGCAGAGGCACCAGAGATGGTGGGACACCAGCTAGAGAAGCATCACGCAGCAGCAGCTATGCTACAGCCTAGGTAACCTGCACTGTAATGCTTCATTAAAGAGAACTTGTTGCTAGAGAGGCCAAAGGGTTTCAAGTATAAAGACTCTCCATGGCTGCTACAGGAGTGGTGATCCGCCCGCTCATCCCAGGGATGAACACAGCTCTCGGTACCAAGGCCACCTGCAGTCAGGCATTCTCCGCTCTCCAACTCCACGTCCAACTCCAACTCCACGCCTCCAACTCAGCTACACTGAGCTCACGCTTCGGTGTAACGCGAGCATCAGAAAAAAGCCCATTAACACCTTCCGCGGCAGGAACCGCTCCCTTCCGCTCTCCTCCCGCATCCCAGGCACGTGCCAGAGAGGCAACCTGACCGCGATGCATGGGCCTTTTACAGAGAGAAGGGATTCTCCCTCTGCCTCCTCCTGCCCGCAGCCATGGTCAGGAGCAAATCCCAGATCCTGCCAGTGGGGGACAAGGAATGCAAACTCCATCCATCACGCTCTCCCAAGTCATTGCGTTATTTATGCTTGCCCCTAAGTCTTGCTGTTCAGGCTGTATTCTAAAGCAATTCTGTTAATGATTTGCTTAATGTTCTCACTATACACAGTTGTCCCGATTCATTCTTGTCAGAGGAACATGTCCTCCTTAATCCATTTTAAAGGAAATAAACCACAAAGGCTAGTTAAGTGCCTCTAAGGCTCTTGCTAGTCCAACATGTTAAGGCTAAAAAGGAGAACATATTGAAAAAGAAATAGCAGGCAATTTTTCATGCAGTTATTTTACAAACTGCACGCCTCCTGTGAATAGCGAGGCTGTAGCCAAAGCTGGGTGCCCCCAAGAAATATTTATCTCCCAATAACTGCAATACTTGGCAAGTGAGATCACTCGCTACGGATGGGGAAAAGCAGCGGAGCCAAGAATGCTTCAGCCAGGGTGGACCCTTCTGCGGTCAGATCGGTCGCTCCTGCGCGGCGCTGGGACACGTCCGCTCCCACGTCCCTGCAGGTGACCACGGCTGAGCCACCTCTGCTTGGAGACGGAGGTCAGCACCGAGACGTCGGTTCGGGACTTGCCCCGGTTGCTACATAGGCTGAAACTTCACTACCCAATTTAGTTTTTAAAAGAAAAAAACATGCTCTGAAAAGAAATCCAGTTTTAAAAAAAAAACAAACCAAAAAACCAACACCCAACACAACCAAGCACAAACCAAGGCACGACACAAAAGAGCAATTAGCGCTTCAGCCTCTTCCTCAGCTCGAGCACATCTTATAGCTTTAGGTCTCCCCAGCTGAGGGGAGGTAACGGGAGAGAGTTGCTCAAGAAGCCAAAAGAAACAATAGCGTCCCAGCTCTTCTATTAGTCACCAGAAATCGAGTTATGACTAGACTCAGCAGGGCTCAGAGAAAAGAAAAAGTGGTGACTTCATGCTGGACCAGACTTTTTAAATACAATTTTTTTTTTTTTTTTTTTTTTTGCTAGAGACTCCGTCACCACTTATTAGAGCATTTTAGGTAGAAGGGTGCCAAAAGGAAAGGGGTGGGGGGAGGAAGGATAAAAACCACATCTAAAAGCAGGACAGTTGCTATTAAAACAGAAAAAAAAAAAAATTCCTGTTTGAATAATTTTATTCTTAAACATGACAAACTTCTTCAGAGTGTTTTCACAAGTACTTGTGTCTGCTCTACGCGGCTCGGTGAAGCCTGTAGAAATGTGTTCTGGTTTGCAAAATATTAATTAAAAAGACAAAAAAAACCCCAACAAAACACAAATTGCTGTAACAGCAGCAGTACTTTAAGGCAGCCCCCGTTAGGGCAAGGTATACCTCTGGGGTAATGGCAGGAGCTGAAAGTAGCAGAGGCTCTGGAACCGGGAATCGGCATTTTCTTTGGGACTTTGTGATTTCTGGAATGTGGAGGCAGTTTCCTATCTGCTAAGCCTGCTCTATTAAGTATTCACCTTCCTCTCGCACTTACTGCTTTTGCAGCCTGCTTCCAAGCGCTAGGTAGAGGCACTTCGCCGCCTTCGCTCGCACTCCTGAGGATGAATGTAAACACCACTGACCCTGTCTGATTCACCTCCCTTTGCATCCCGCGGCCGTTCCAGTTCAAACTGGGAAGGCAGAAACCCCAAACCCCCCTTTCTTGCTTTCGTTAGCGTGCAGAAGCAGGAGTGCCTGGATAGGGCGATTTTGACATTAGTCTGTCTTCTCCCGCTCCCGCCTGGGATGCTCTTGCTAGTGCAACATAAAAGCAGAGACCCACACCACTCTCAACAAGCCTCGTGTGAAGATCACAGAGCAGAATATCAGTGCAGTAATACTTGAAATACTGAGACAAGGCAGACACAACAGCCTTTCTTCCTCACAACGCTTTTTCAACTAGCTTTTTGATCCAAGTCTCCATGCAAGTCACAGAAGACAATTGTGCTTCCTGCATTCACATATAGGAATAAATAGCTCTGGATCAGTTTTCTTTATGGCCGGATTACAGAACCCCCTGAAATACTGATACGCTTATGAACAGCAGCACTGTGCAGTTCTGTGAGTATCCTTGGACATGCCAAGTTCATCTAGGATGCTGGCGCATCTCCTAGGCGTATGGCCCCAAAGAAAGTTGTGTGCTTGCTCATGTTGATGGAGATGTCAGCATGGACCATTTTCACAGCAATCTTCTGCCTGGCTTTGAGGAGGCAGACCCCAGCTGTATAGCAGGTATTGAAGTTGGTCTTGCCGGTCTCAATACTCCGAGTGCATTGCAGAAAGGGCTTTTCATCCACCACCACCTCATAGCTGGCAAAATCTGTGAAGTTTATGTAGTATACCTGATGTGAAGCAGGAAGAAGAAAGGTATTAGGGAGTGTATTTGTGCACATGGAACAAGTCCACATTCCTCTCAGTGCGTACATATCTGCTCCCTCCGCTAACGATCCCTTCCTTGGCCCCGGCACACCTGTACTCATGGGAGGTTGACTTGTTCGAGGCAGAAAGAACCTCAAGCCAACCAAATACGAGGAGACTCTGTATTCCACTTCGTACTAATACAAGCATGCAAGCATCCGTGAATCCGCGTATCTAAGGCTGAGCTACGAATCCTCGCTTTAGACCCTGCTTGTTAAAGGAAAAATTACAAACCTGCACAGGCCTAGTTACAAAAATGTGTAGACAGCCCTACCTGCTACAAACAGCTTTTCATCCAACAAACAAACAGAAATATTTTAACTGAAGTCCTCTTTCACTTACCTGGCCAGTCCTGTTTTCTGGGTCCCATGAGCCTCCTTTAGTGTTGACATCAAAAATGCCCTAAGATGTACTGGGAGTTGCCTTCTTTGTAACTGGACTTGAGGTGCTTTCAAAGGCATAAGCTATTACAAGGAAGACACTCTCCCAACCTCCACAGCTTGGAAGCAAAAGACCTTGGAGCGTTTGTACCGATTTAACTCTTAGACCTAGCACCTAACTCCCCGTGACTCCATTACTCGTTACTTAACCTCTCCCACACACTGCTTCTGAAGAACTGCGAGATGCGTGAGAAAGACCTGTCCAAAGTCAGTCCCAGGGAGCTGCTGCTTCCTGACAGAAGAAAACCAGCCATTTTGGATGCATCTGCTAATTCTTCTTAGTCTACACGCTGCGACCACAGAAGCTACACAAGACTGAGTCCCCTTTTTCCTTGGTGGACTACAAACGACAAAGGTTTCAGAGGCACAACGTTGTGGCCAGCAATTAGCATTAAGCACTCGGAGAAACAATCATACTTTGGCCCATGTGGAGTTTTTTTTTTCCTGTCCCCACCCAAACTGGACAGGTAACCAGTTCCACGGAAGAGCACCTAACTTGACAGCCACGGCCCACTTTATCTGATTTGGTACAGTCCCAGTAGGGCTGCCAATTGAATAGATGCAAATCATGAGCAGGAGGTTATTTTAGAAGCCTGGAGCAAGGTGGAAGTTGCTTAATTGTGGTTGTCACACAGAAACCCTCTTGTCTTGCTAAAATCTGTCCCAGAACCTGGACAGTTTTTCAGTCCGCAGGTGGGTGGACACCCCCCATGCTCTGGAAGGGGAGAGCTTCGGAGCTCATACTCCACACAGCTCAGCAATTCCGTTCAGAGATTTGCAAGACACTGGGAGTGGTGCGTTAAGTGACAGTCCCATCTCCTGCATTTCATTTGAATGGGGAGAGGAAATGATGTCTTAATTAGCTGTATACTAAATCATAATACAGTAATTTATTACTTTCTTTAGCCCTTTTTACAGAAGCAGGTCCGTACATCCATCGTCAGCGCCAACTAAAGCAGCAAGCTGAGCCATCCCGCTGCACAATGTGGTTGCTGGCGCATCATGTTGGTCTGAAGCTACACGAAGAAGGTGGAGGCAAAACAGAGTTACCTGGGCTGGAGTTTGGCCAAGCTACCCGGGCCGAGAGTCCTACGCTTACAAAGAGTGACATGGCTTTGCAATGATCACGAGTTGTCAGGGTTTGGGTCTTACATCTCTTTTAAAGGACAGAGCCTAGCGTCCTGCTGGGACCCTTGTTCTGCAAGGAGGTTTAGATGTGCTGGTGAATGACTGCACAGACAATGTGGAGGATTAAAAAAAAGGCATTGGTGGCATGTGGGATCTGGCTGGGCATCTGCGCATGCGTTTCAGTAACTAATCTCTTGCAGCTGGTGTCACGGCGAAACGTGTGACCTTGCACTTCGAAACTCTAACGTCTTCCTCCGACACACATCTCCTAGAGCACGAAGCGGTTAAAAGTACATACAAGTTCTTGGCATTTGCTAGTTGTCTGGAGCCCTCTCGTGGTTCATGCAAAGGCTTCCATTGGAACACAAGAATAGGAGTTAGGCCTAGGACCGTACTCACTTCTACCTGACTATAGATGAAGTATGTGCCGTCCACCAGTACCTCCAGCTCCCCACTGCGGGCATGCAGCTTAAACACCTTGGGGTTCATAGTGATGCGAGACCAGTCATTGAGGACTCCACCTGAAAGATCTCAGTATGAGAAAATGGCAGTCACTCAGTACCCGTCAGAATGAAAAGCGCAGGAGCACAGAAATACAGTGACATTGCAACGTTTCATACACAACAGCTGGCACAGGCTCAAGTTAAAAAGTCAAGTAACTCGGTTAAGAAAATCCCAGAATTAAAGACTACGGTGCGTTCGTTTGGACTCCTCTCTACAGCTCTAATTACACCATCACTTGCCGGTGGACGCTCATGTTGTTCAGTGCACGGCACAACTGATTTACATCTCTACTTGTCCTCATCAAAAGTGGTTCTTCTCATCCTTGAGAATAGGCCTATGGCCTTTTGTACTACACTACGTTCGTCCCCAGCGCTGGATACAGACTAGCTTGCCTCCTCCTGACGCTAAATTGAGCTTATTATCATATTTGAGTGTTGTACAGGCCTGAAAACATGTTCCCAGTATCATCCCCACTCCAGAGCAAAGATGCTCCGGCACATGCAAACCAATGCCAGTTACTATAAGGCATTTGCTAAGTTTTCTTAATTCACCTGAGAGGCCAGGGGCTGATTTTTCACACTGTTTTTGTACGTTCAGCCACAGATCACAAATGACTTATCGCAGCTGCAATTATAAAAGCATTTCTACAGCTCAGACCCCAGGCGCCTCCTGAAGAGCATCTGTGTGCGGCCCTTGTAAGAGCTTTGTTACTGGCGATCTCCCTGGTACCATGGAAGAAACTCTGCAGCAGAGGTAGGACCAGGATCCAATTCTCCAAGAAAGATCCTCAACTGACATTACCCAGCCCTTGGGACCGTTAAACCTCTTCCTCTACCTTCCACCTCATTCATTCCCCTCCCCACACCTCTCTGCCCAGTGTCCACACTAAACAAGGTGGAGCTTCAGCAGACGGTGTGCTGAAGACTACATCAACACGTACATCCTTGAGGACCACAGCAAGGCTAGGATGGGAACAGTGATTCCTGTCCTCGTGGGAATTGGACTACACGTGGCCAATCTGTCTGCCCCCCTCTCAGTGCTGCTGGGCAGGAAGATGTTCTTAGCCGTGCTGTCATGATACAGCCTTCACCCTCACTTTTATAGAATCACAGAATGCTTTGGGTGGGAAGGGACCTTTAGAGCCCACCCAGCCCAACCCCTGCAGTGCCAGGGACAGCTTTAACCGGCCCAGGGTGCTCAGAGCCCCGTCCAACCTGGCCTGGGATGTTTCCGGGGATGGGGCCTCCACCGCCTCTCTGGGCAACCCCTTCCAGTGCTTCACCGCCCTCAGTGTAAAACATTTCTTCCTTATATCCTTATATCCACTTTAAGCCTTGGGATCATTCCTAGAATAAAACTAGTCCTTGCAGCAAGAGAGCCAACAGTATTATGGAAAAAATTGTGTGCAACTACAAGACTAGACCATCTCTCAGGACACATATGTGCATGGAGGCCAACTTAGGGTTACACAGTCGATTTTAATTCTGGTATTCCTTGACTTCAACATTCTTGACTTTGTAACTAGCATTATTTTAACAAATGCTTTGTCATTACATTTCCTAGGTTTTTAAAAGGCAAAACAACAACAAAGTATGAAATTGCATCGCGTCACACCTCATTAACCCCTAACTGGGGTCCTCGGCACGGTCAGGGGTTTACAGACCCACCCTGCAGCCCTCCGGCACTGGAGCCAATGGAATAGCTGACAACACGAGTGGACCTCTGTTCTCTGGACGGGCCAACAAGCAGGTCCAGAGGACACACTTCGCTACGAGCCGAGGACAGAGCCGTTCTGCGTAGGTGCCTTGTTTTATCAAATACAACTCTTTTCCTCCCAGTCTTCATCTGCTTCTCAGCTCCCTGCCCCCAGTTGCAAACCAGCCAGGTTGTGTTTTCTGCTGGCTGTCAGCTGGACAGCATTAATGGCTCACAGCATCAGATTGTTCCTGAGCAGCAGGGAAGTACACTCAGAGGGCAATTCCCACTCTTAGGGAGTAGCGTACGCTCTGTAAACATACAGGCTTCCCATTAATAAAGGGATAATTACTTTTTGAACGTAAGCAAAACAGCATCTTTTCCCCTCGTATTGTTCTTAGGAACGGCTGGTTTCCTTTTTGTTTTGGGGAGCTTTCCCCCACCCTGCTGTAAGCATAATTCCCTAACCATAAGAAATTTCAGCTCCCACAGCTCACGTCTGCTGAAAGAGAGAAATTGCCTTTCAGCAGAAGCGCTGGTCAGCCCGCACCATCCCACGCGTGGGGCAGAAGTTGGTGGACAGGGGTCCTGCAGCCCTGTTGCTGCCGCGCCAATCCCTGGGAGCTGCAGCCCTCGAGCTCCGGGCCGGGGGGACGTGCACCGGGGCTGCTGCCCGCG